ATCTCCATGCACCGAGGACGGATTGAGCCCATGGAATCAGTTGTGGTAGCTCGGGCGGATACTTCATATCGAATGCACAAACAAGTCTTGTACATACTGCAGTTAGGTGCCGCAATGGAGCAAGGGGTAGTAGAGTGCACCGAAACCGAGTGACGCGTCCACGTGTCCCAACTTCAATACGAGATGAAATGCCGTTGGATGATGGGTAGAGGAACGCAGAGGTCGAATGAACACAGCTGTAAGTTGGTCTGTAACGAGCACATCATATCTGACGTCCATCAGGCGGATCGACGTTGTCCTATATATGTAGCCTCTCCGTAGTCCGCCTAATAATCTACCAATCACGGTTTATTTGTCTTGGACGCTCATCATACGGTTGAAACTAGTTATTTAGTTGAGACGTGTACAATCACGTGTATTGGGCCAACGTCTGCGTATCTTGGCATGCGTTTCGCCGCCTTGTCGCATACATCCCCGGCCCTCGGCTACAGCACTCACCAGTTTGGCGATGACCCCACGTCAGGCACGTCGTCACAGGTAGGCTTTTATGTTTGTGTAATTCTTGTTCCTCTGTGTTCGCTGGACGTAGGGTTTGTAGTCTGACGTCGCCCTCCTGTGTAACTGCAACTGCTCGTGAAGATGGGGGCGCCGTGCAATGAAATAGTGGTACGTAAGTACATACATAGTCAGCGTACAACATGTATTGATTGGTCCCAGCTAGATTGGTCCGGGCACCAGCAATGGAAGCCTATTTGCCGACCACCGGAACACCAACCATCCAACTATGTCAGCAGACCCTGATCATCGGGTGGAGAGCGTCACTACTACTGCGTCTAGGGTCGATGTCGGACTTAGGGGCCTCGTTAGCTTCGTCGCCACTTCAATTACGCACGACTTTCAATATGCGCGTCGTAGCGAGGACCCAAACTCCCAGACGGTCGGATTGGATGCGCGATTTAGACTTGTCGATTGTGTCCCGAGTGATCGCGCGGGTCGGGCGGTTCTGACATTCGTGAAGGAAGCCTTGAGTCAGGTGCGCGTCACCGGGACTGTGACACTAGTGAACGGGCAGAACATCTCGCGCAGGGATCAGCTGCTGATGCGGATTCACCGTATTATACCGACGGAATCAGGAGCGGATGAGGGCAGTTCCGTGGACACCTTTGTTGCACGGGTCGTGCACCTCGGGCTTGAGAGGCTTTGCGGCGGTCAAGTGGAACTAGAAGACTTCCGGCTTAGTGAACATGACTTGAGCGACATGGGAGCGATTATTGAGAAGACTAGAGCCGTGGAGCGCCAGGAGCCTCGCCCCAGCCAAGCTGCTCAGACAACAGCACGTACAGCCCCGGCCTCCTTGGGTGCTCGAACCCCATGTGAGATGTCTTTCTGTGGCGTATTTTCTTCATGCTTGTTGCACCATTGCGAGTTTCGTAACGAACAGTTTGTGTACAGCATCATCGCGAACACTATCGTAGTTAGGGCTGTGACGGTACCAGACTAGACACCGTTGTTTGCTGGTCCTGACCGGGTTATGTTTAAGGATCACGGAATCCTTTTAGCTGCGGTATACGATGCAACATTGACGTATGTGGGCTCTGTATGCGATTGAGTTGTGAACTAAAGAAAAATATCGTATCCGCTGTCCCCAATCTCTTCCCCAAATGTTTCCTTCGTTTGTGTTCATACCCCAGCTAGTTCTAGGCGGTCGATACGCGACTCGGCCGGGGACTCTGCTTCCTCGGCGTTGGCGCCCAACGCGCCGTCAGTCACTACCCGTTCTAGAACGGCAGCGCCTGTACTCCGCAGCTCTGGCGCGAGCGCTGGGACGGACGTGTCGATACGGGGCGATTCCGGGGGGGGGCAACCATTCACCTCTCCAGCTGATACAAGAACCAACGGGCGACGTCGAGAGCAGCAATATTCGGGGTCCTCCTCAGGAGTGGCTCCCCTTTCCGCTACCGACGCCCAGTCATTACGCACAGCGCTCCACTACCGAGGCACCACCCCACTGTCGGGCTACGCGTTACGGATTCCGCGAGCGAACGGGCTGAGCGGCGCGCGGCGGGAGAACGAACGTCACTCGCCGCACAACGAGAGAGGGCTGATAGCCTACAAGCGGCACTCGCAGCTTCCAGCGCGAACGAAGCAGGTGGCTGGAGCAGGGCAGACAGCGACACCAGGGTTGTACAGGCGGGCAGGCTTGCGGTGAGCAGGCTGGTAGCGGGCACTATTGATATTATCCTGTACATGTAGGTCACTCGTCGAAAGACGCGACGGTTGCAAAAAGTGCAAGCACAAAACAAGCATGTAGGATTAGTTTTCGCGTTTTAGTTTTTACGTTTTTCCTAGCATTTCATCTACGAATCCATCTCTATGTTTAGGAAAAGAGTCTGAGACAGGTTTGCAACCTTTGCTTAGTGCTGGACGCGAACCATTGGCACGCATATCGTCACACGTCCGCGCACTGATTTGCCGCCCGTCAGTTTACCCGTACCAACATCCCGGCACCCGACTGCCGGCATTTACGTCAACATGGGTTAGATCGCGTTTTCCCTCCGAACAATTGGATCTGAAAAGCGAGGATGCACATCTATCCCGTTTGATACCCTACGTATTTCGCCACATCGTGATAAAAACCTTTCGTAATGGGTTGGGGGTTGTCCCTTGCAGTCTCTACTTCCTGGGCAACGCGAAGGAGGTCCCGCGGGCATCCCAAGCGATGAGACCCCGGCGGCACAAGCGCAAGGAATGCAGGACGAGTCAGAGGTACCGAACAACCCACCCGCCGCCCCGTCGGTGAGTTACATGTACGATGGCCGCAATTTTGGATTTCCCGTAGCAGCCAATCGATCATAGATGGACCTTTCGTTCCTCCGTCGAGGCCTATGATAAGAGGGATGTTTTTCGACCTGAACATGCTCTTCGCTAGGTTTAGAACAGGTATTCGCTGTGTAGTCGTGGGCCCATGCGATGTACCGTGCGTTAGTCTATACGTTTGTTTGGACGAAGGCCCTCTAGTCTAGGTCAGACGGAAATTCAAACGAGCACTTACTGTTGTCCGTTGAACGCATAGACTACACCATCGCGAGGCGCCGCCGCTTGTCGTTTGTGTATCCGTCCGCACGGTGCCCGGTGTAAAACGTTCCGATTGTCACCGTCTGTGACCATACCTTCCGTCGAGTCTATCTGTATCCGTCTTATAGCGTGTGGTTGACATTCGCATCCCCCATCTATTGACCACCCCGGTGTCGATGTGTTTTGATAGGTATGGCGTTGCTCTTCTTCCCGACCTCGCACGTACGCAAATATTTACCATGTTCACTTCATTGTACTGACCGAGGCGAAGCCTGTCTCTTGGGGCGCGCCAGTCGCGCAGACCACGAAAGCATACAACAGCGGGGTCTCCGAGGGCCCCTCGTTTTAACCACATATACATACTAGGGTTAAGGATTGGCCCCCCGCCCCCCAATGGGCCTTGGGGCCAACATCCCGGCCCGATGGTAGTGAGTGTCCGTGGGGAAGCAAAGAAGAAGAAGAAGAAGGGTAGAGGATTTGTAGGGGGAAGAAGTGGAGAGGTAAGGAATTTGTGAAGAATACCGTCACAACACAGCTAACTCCACACTCTTACGACCATGATCAGTCGGCGTCTCGTCGATACGATAGTCGCAGGTGGGCATGATGAAGGTCGCGACCCGTCCCCCGTCGTTCGATGTAAAATTATTAAAGCAAAAGTTGGACTGCGTAAAGATACGGCGGTCTTCTTGGCAGTGCCAAAGGACAATGGAAAAATGCCGCAGGGGACATACATGTCCCTATATGCTGTCTGGGAAATCGTAGACATACAGGTAGCTTTTTCTGACGCTATGAATTCATTGCTAATCTGACTCTGACTCTACCTATGACAAAGATGGATTCGTTGTGTCATATTCAGGAAAAAAAAAAAATGCATCATGTCGCAAAAAAAAAAAAAAAGGTGAGCGGGAAAATAATAAATAAAACACCGTATCCTCTGTTGTTGCAGGCACGTTTGCTGCACAACCAACACGGGAACCCAAACCACTCTCGTCTTCCGGCGTAGAAGACTGCATGACGCAAGCACCGGTAGGAGAGTGCGGGAAAGATGCCGTGACAGCACAACTCCACTCTCCTACAACATCTATGCACAGTAGTACTGCCGTCGTCGGAGCACCATATATGTGGAAGATCTCGGGGGGGTCCTCCCGCGCGCAATAACGACAACGTCGCGAGAGCCCTGCGTGTGTATCTGTCGTCGATACACGAAGCAGCCGCACGACACAAGAACGGATGTTTACATCGCGTTGTAGTATGGTTAGCCGTGGCAGGAAGTATCCCATCCAGTTGGTCTGTAGTAAAAACACAGCAGCACGGTAGTCGAGCTATGCATGCATGCAATTTTTTGCTGCGGCTGCAGGCATACTTTTGCCTCCACAACTCGAGAATCCCACTGCTGTATCTCGACCTACAAGACTCCAAACAACAAAGCAGCGCTGGCAGAAGTGCGTGGAAGATGCCGTCACGACACAACTCAGTCGACACTCGCCAACTTCTATGTACAGTCGGCGTCTGGTCCATACCGCTGTACGAAAAAAATTATCACAGCCATTTTTTTTTTTTTTCCATACTAATAACAAGAAATGTGTCACGTCACGACGACCATCCTGTAAGTATATATATAATATGATATACAACGACGACCATGACCACGACCACGACAACAACGGCCTACAATTTTTTTTTTTATAGGTACGGATATATATACATGTACGTACGATACACACAGTCCTTTACACCCGCGAGACCGATCGACAAAGATCGTTTACTGCGCAACGAAGAGATGCCGAAATGAGGAGGTGTGTTCATCTGAGTACTGGCCCTGCTCCAACCTCCGACGCCGTTGTTCGACACGGGAGTGTCGTTGTTCGTGTTTCGTAGTTACAGCGGGTGTGTGTGTGCCGGGGGGGGTTGGGGGGGCACCACTAATGCTACGTAGTGGACGTAGATGGGGCACCGTTCATATTGTCTCCGCGATCCTCCGTCTTAACGGGCAGGTCACGTTTGTCGCATCACATGAGCAAGGTTCGGTGGTTGCGCCCGTGGGGACGTCCACCGGAAGTATCTTCGCACCCCCGGCGCTAGGAGGGCAGAACGGCTCGGACTTGGTGGATTCCAACAACGCCGCCATGTCCCCGGTGAGTTGGTTCGGGTTTCACGCTAGCTCGGCGTCATTTGCCCCTCCTCCGTGTGTTCCATGTGTACAACAAGTTCAGACAAAGGACATGTCTTGGGGTTTTTTCTTTTAATAACAAAATTGAACGCGATGTCGATGTCCAAATGAGGAGCGAAACGGAAAGGCCCACCGCTATTACGAGAAACGGCCCCTCTTCGGGCAATGCGCGTGTGGTCTCGCGTCACCCGCGGGACCACGGCCACTCACGCCCGAAGAGGCCTTGAATGTTTGTGTCATCAGGTAACCTTATGAAGAAGGCTGTGCTTTGGGGGTGGGTATACATATGATCGTAGTTCGACCGTTTGTGTACTGGCCGAACGACAAGCAGCGGCCGCTACACCCACACCCACACACCCCCTGCTTTGGTTGCGGTTGGCAGGAACACCCAACGTGCATGGGCGGTTGTAGTAGTCAGGGTGCATTGTCTCCGACCGTACGGAAATCCCGAGAGTTTGATGCCAAACGTATCCGCGAAAAGGAACAGATAATATTTGCTGTCGGGTAGTGCCGTGTGTGCCGTGTAACAGGGGTAATTACTGCTGCTGCAGTTGATACGCTGTGCGTCCTACCAAAGCTGCGCCAAACCTAACTGTCTTGTTAATGATATGCTACTACGGCCGACCTGTGCTGCGCGGATATGATCTAACATGTTTTTTGAGGCTGCGCGTGGGATTGAACGCCATCCGCCCGTAAGCGCGAGCCGCCGTTTCGTATGTAGATAACCTATACAGCCTCTACCTGTACGAAGAGGTATGTGTCGCTCATTGCGGGAAACAGGTCGTAACTCTCCCACGCGGATGGGACCGTATTTGGTACGCATTGATGTCCTCCTCGATGTCCTACACTAAAGCATTTACACGTGGGACACTACCCTCTTGCCTTGCCCCCTTAACAGGCTCATCATCCGGACATGCCGATGACGACGTCGCCATAACCCGACCAGATCACCACAGCGAGGATCAGGGTCCAGACTTTCTACAAGTACCGCAGAGAGGGCGAGCAAGTGCATGACTTCATACGGAAGGCAGAGGTCCAAGTCGCTACCGACGAGGAGATGCAAAGGCAGCGATCTGTCGGAGCACTACTCCCCGACGCAGCTGCGACCGGTGGCGGCGGCGGACGCTCATACGCCGAGTCACGGCGCAGAGTGAACTCGGCGATGCAGGGCAGGGAGTCGCTCGACGAGTCCCGTCCTGCGGGAGATGGGTTGCAGCAACCTCCCAGCCGTACGCCTGCAACGACTCTCCTGCCCACACCACCACCCGCCGGTATTGCCACCCAGCACGCCCACACCGGCTGCTGGGGCGAGACTCGCCCCCCGCCCGGTGGTTCTGGACGTCAACGCTTAGCCTTCGACCAGAGTCACCATGTCCACCGGCAGCCCCCGCCGCCCCTGCCTGGTGTACCCCCGAGTTATGCCGTGCATCATGCCAATCGTAATGCGACTCAATTCAACGAAGGTACGCACCTCGCGATAGGCGTACCGACTGAGGGCATCATTTCTTTTGCTGTACATAATTTGGCATCCGGATGTTCGTAATTATGTCCACACTGCCTTCACCAAGTGCTAGAGCGTACTCGCGGATATACCGGGGCGGTTGGTGTACAGGTGCGTGTGTCGTTTGTGTATTGAGAATTTAATCAACTATCGATCTACACAACCCAAGCGTGTGTTGTGATGTGCTGCGCCAACGAGGAGCTGGTGCTTGTGCGCAAATGGGCCTTTTTTCACTACCACCTGCCACTCTTGTGCGTCTGCCTCGTTTGTCCGTGTGATGTCTTTGTCTCTTCGTATGTATGTGTGTCCCGAGGATGCGCCGGTAACCACGTAGAGCAGTGAGAGCTTTCCATGCACCCGTCGGTCGGCAGCACCATGTGGCAGGTACACGGCACGCGCCCGGTTGTTCGCATCGCATTCAAGCACGGTTCGTCGTCGCACCGGGTGTCCCATCCAGTCGTGGTCGTCGCCGTATCCGAACGTTCTTTGGCCGTCCACGTCTGGTCCACAATGCTGTACCGAAAATAAAATCCTAGCTTATATGTTCCCACACCGGCATGTAGATTACAGTCTCGTATGCATTTGGGAAATGCGTTGTTGATGATGCCACGAGAAGCACGGGGATGACAAATCAATCCTGACCATCAACGCCCACCCCTGCACCTACCAACCCCATGTCTGTTACCTCGCGGCCGTCAGGGATAGAAGATCTTCTCGATACACTGGCCGAGCGAGTCCTAGTTCGGCATCCTTCGGTGGGTTACATGAGGATGACCATCGCCGTTTATCTCGATCTGAAGCGACGGGCACCAGGGAAGGGGGCGTTGGCCCACATCCTGGCTGTGGCTCGAATTTCTAACGGGAGCGCGAAGACATTTGAAAGGGTAGGCCGACCATGTCATGCACAAGTGTGTTGTAAACATCCGTAGAGGTCGCTTATTCCGTTCTTTGCTTCCCCACTACATCGAAACGATCTATAGTTTGAGATGACATTCCGACGTGCACGACGCTGGTGGTGTCGATTGACGTACCGGATTGCTTCTCCCGCAGTCAATCCCGTCTGCCTGGTTGTCACCAAAGTACCCAAAAACGACGCTGTATTACAGCCGGCTTGACTTCCTCGGTAACGTTACAGTTGTCACCAAGGTCTCCCTGGACAAGCCAGACGTATGATTGAAATTCTGGGCAAGGGATCGCCGAAGAACAGGAGATGACGGCCAGAGGGTCGGCAGTATTTCCTGCAGTCGAAACGGAAGCACAAGGAAGGTACCTATACGTCAGGGGAGGACACCACGCGGTCTATGTACATCGTCTATCGGTATATTCTGTATCACCTCTGCCACAGCAACACGAGGTCCATGCCTCTCGTCACATACGTCCTGTTCCGCTGACTCGACCTCGGAACGCCCCCGGTGGACTCACGCCCCGACATTCTTTCCGTGCTCGCTTTTGAATTCGTGGAGTATGCAGGAACATGAAACTTCTCGAAGATATGGGCACCGTCTTGAACGAAGCTGATTTTTTCACCACAGCATCTAGTCTCGAAGCGGGTCTCGGGACCGCTGCTCCGGCCGCCATAAGCGCGCCTGTTCCGGCATCTGCCAGCACGCCTGCGCAGGGGTCTGCTTCATCGCCAGGGACCTGAACAGGCCGTGCAAATCTACAGCGGTACACCATCTTCAGTACGTAGCGACGCAATGCCTGACTGTAACGTCAAGCTACGGCAACAACTGAACAGCACGCCCGGGTGTGTTCCGTACGAAAAATACGAGACGCCGGAAGGGCACCCAAGTAACATAAGAGTCTTACTTGTGCCTGTTCTTCTTTCTGATTTAGCACCCTTTGACTAATGAGACGCAAGTGTATGGTAGGTCGGAGTCCCCGCGCGTGCTTCCGAACACGGGCGGCGTCAGGCTCAATGGCCAAATGACGAGCGCCAGGCGGTCGTTCTTTGTGTCTCGTGGCGTGAAAGTGTTGTCCCCTCTGTAGGCCCTACCTCTGTGCGCGGAAGCAGACGTCTGTTTCCGCACGAAGACTCAGAGACAGCGGTCGTGTACGTGTCGCTGAGGTATTGGTGTGTTGCCTTTTTATTTCCGTGTCCTTGTCATGAGCATAGCCCACACGTTGTCTCTTTCCCTTGTCTCTGTCCGTTCTGTTCTTTGGACTTTTCTCTTTCTTTGCTGTCCTTTTTGCCAGTCTAGTCTTACCTCGCTTAGTGCGTATAGGCGAGCGTGTTGTCCTAGACTATCTGTCGTTGATTGCTACCGACTTGCTTTTGTTGGGGTCTTTTGTGTTTTCCTGTGTTTTGTTATAGGTTAGTTTTCCTGTGACCACGGGAATCGACCGCGTAAAGTCTTGTACTACGAAGTATGGACAG